TGGTTGCAGAGGCTACGCGTCAGAAGTTTAAATTGGCCTTAACTCAGATCACAGAAATTGCTTAGTTTACAGAATGGCAGCTGCTCACCTCTTGGCTCACCTCTCAGGAAGTGACAGTTAAAAAGGCATTTTATACATCTCCAGTCTGCCACATCATCACATCATTACATCATATATGTTAGCAGAGGAGTAAACACCCATGGCTCCAGCCTTATCAAAATACCTCGGTCTTAGCTGAAGGACACCGCTGTCATTCCATTCCCAAATCTTTGCCAAGTACACAATGAAGATTATAACTGTATATCCGGACAGTATATCCGTTGATCTAAAATAAATAGCTGACGAGTAAATATCCACTTTAAGTCAAAGGTCATAGTAGCTACAGTTACATGTGCAAATTTCCAGGATATTATCTAAATCTTGGTCAATCAGAAATGTTTACATGGACACTAAATAAAATGATCCAATCATGATATGTGTATACATATGTGTACACATGTGTACCAGGTGTTTAATTATAATGATTATATAATTTAAGCTTGTGTGTAACATCTTAATTTTTCAGAAACACTTCAGTAGCCTAATAGAAGAAGCTGCCTGTTTTGTGAACAATGTACTTGAGACAAGTGATTCAATTCAAATTATTTCTATAGCGCCAATTCACAACACATGTCATCTTGAGGCACTTTAGGGAGACAATTCAACCAGATCATACAGTTAGACTGGTTCAAAGTTTTCTATCTAAGGAAAACAAACTGATTGCATCGACTCATTGACTCTTCAGCATTTCCTCACGTCAAACATGCTTGTAGTGACAGTGGAGAGGAAATTTCCCTTTTAAAAAGAAGAAATCTCCAGCAGAACCAGTCTCAGTGTGATCAGCCTTCTACTGAGGCCAACTGGGGTTCAAGGAGCAAGAAGCAGACATAGAAAAAGAACAGGAACAGAGCAGATGAAGCTGAGGATAAAAATTAGAGAGAGTTTAGAGTTAGAGATTTAACTAAAATATCTGCCGAATGGGAGAATGATGAAAAGTGATCCCTATGTCCTCTAGCAGTCTAAGCCTTTAGCAGCATAACTATAGAGATAGCTTAGGATAACCTGAGCTGCTTTAACTATAAACCCCTCTATTTTAGGATTGAATCCAATCAGACCGAATTGGATTAGAATCTCCAGTTTGACATGTATACATTATACATTTTTTATCTGATCAGGCCTTCAATCCGATTATTTGTGTCCATGGCAACATAGCTAATTGCGTGACCACATGTGTTGTGACCTCATTGGCTGACCATTGGATGATGGGTGCGGTTCTCATCATCAAATAAAGGCTCTATGTGGTAGTAATGTGGCCCAATGCCTTCAAAATGTCTCAAAATGCAAAATCTTTCAAAAAACTAAGGCGTTAAAAGGAAAACTCTAGATTATGTACAGTAATATATTACTACAAATGTAAGAACTAATAGAACAGCTCTTAAGATATCAGTTCTGTATATGTGGTCAATAAATAAGCTTAGACCTAAGTAAAATATTGAGTTTTACAAAAGCATTATGTTTATTTTCTTTGGAATAAAGATTAAATATAAAATTAAATATTCTTGGGAATATTATGTCAATGTAAAGTCATAAATCAGGAATAGTACATATTTTTGATGTATTTATAATGAAACTGATAATAGTTTCAATCAAATAAGAAATAGAAAATTTGTGCAATTTTTTTTGTGTTTCCAAAAACTGTGATTCCTTCTCAAAATGACTGAGGCAAATTTTTAAATCAGAGTTAAAACAGAACTGTAGAGGTAACAAAAAGAAACATGCAGAAGGAAAAATTCAGTTATGCTGTTTGTGCCAAAGCTGATGCAGATTATTTCTGTACAGGGGCATAATAGGAGCCAAAACCAGCTCTACATGGGCATTGGCCCCTGTTGACCCCTATCTACAACCGCCCATGCTTGAAATTGAAGCACACAGTGAAAATATGCTACTTGTAAACCAGTGTGAAATGTTTTCAGATTGCAGTTTTGTAAATCCCCATCGATCTTGGCCCAGTTCTGCTACTTTTTGTAGTGACATCCAAACAGGTTGTGTAACATTTCAAGAGTTCAAATTTCACCTCATCTTACCAGACTTTTTTATTTGTGTGTTCAAATCTTTTGCAGCAAACTATAAATGAATTAAATAATAATTTTTCTTCGGCAGTGGAGTCCTAAGCATTGAACGTAAAGGTAGGTTTCATGGTGTCTCAGAGCGATATTTCTGTTCATAACATGACTGTTTCTGCTATTTCCAGGTTTTTCTTTTTAAGCTTCCTGCAAATACCTCTTGTTTCCCTTGGTTCTGTTTTGACTCCAACTTCATAGCTCTTGTAGTAGCTTGCTTATGCTGAAATCCTTCTTCCTGCCTTTGGGTTATTCAGAAGTGTTGATTTTGTTTTTATTTTACAGCTAATTGTATATATATGAAGATTACTGATTCCCTGTTATTCCTCCTTATTAAGCAGCCTAATTTATGGGCAAATTTGTCTGAATTAGTTTCAATATGTGGACTGTTTGGGGTATTGCTGTTTACTGAGATTTAAAAAAAAAAAAATGTGTGTGGTTGATATTATCACCGCTGCTTGAATTGTATTGACTGTCCATGACCTTTCAACAGAAACCTCGAAAAAAATCCTAAACCTTCTGTTTAAGCCTTTCGGCTTTTTTTTTTCTTTTGTTTTTGGTGCTTGTTGTGAAATCTGAATAAAAATACAGATAACCATCTGAGGCCAGTGGTAAAAAACCTGTTCCAACAACACACTTCAGACACCCATTTTATTAAAAAAAAGTGTTGCAATCATCCAACAATACCCCAGGAGATATGAACCATGAAAGATTAAGAGAGTGTGCAGGTTTTATTGAGTACGCTTAAAGATTAAAAGGCTCTCTATGCCGTGGACAAAAGGAAAGACCTGCAACGATCTGCAACAAGTGCTTTAGTGGAAGTTCAGTTCAGCCCCATTAATCTACATGGCAGCAAATCCCTGTAAAGCATTCTCCCAGAATGCTTTGCATTAGAAAACATCTGCAGATCAAATGCCTATATTTAATTTATACACATAGTCGTATTGCACCAAATTAAAACAAATGTTTTATTAAGATGTTTAATACTTCATAATGAAAACAAGTCTGTTAATATCCACCAATTCAGGTCCAAATTAGATTCAAATCCTTCCAATTCATCTCAATCAAATGGCAGCTTTCAGATCCACCTCATTACAGTCGATTGATAATAATGTACTGGAAAAAAATTGTCTGTCTAAGAAAACCATCAGACCTCATCAAATCACCCTGATGCAGTCAGTCAGTCTGGATGCAGTGGTGAACAGTGGAGGGGGGAAAACACCCATTTAACAGAACCGAAGTAACTGCAAAAGTTGACGCTAAATGAAAGAAGGAGTTGTAATGGGTGGGTGGTTCACATA